ACCCTGGTCCCAAGAGTCTCCAGGTCTTGCCACACTGCTGGATGACCAGGTCTCCACATTGGTTCACAAGAGTCTACTGAATGTTGTAGGGCTTAGCTCACAGCTTCATTGCTGCTTTTCCCTCACTTCCCCTTATTGGTGACAGATGTAGTCACCAATTAGAGCATGTATTCCCATTGAGTCTTAGTCTTGGAAGGGGGTTTACCATAAGGGGACCCGACCACTTGCCTTGTTGTCTCCTGGTCAAGCAACTTGCTTGTTCTTGTAATAATGAATTGGAGTGCACATATTGTTTTGTATTTTTCCTGTAGGTCTTTCTTTCAAGAAGTATCTTCTATTCTTCTAGCTGCTCCAGGCTGGTATGCTTGTCCCTTCAAGTGGAAATTTCCCACCTCAGAAGATTCTGGATGCAGTTCAGGATTCCACATATGGTCTTATGTAATGCAGAGGCTCCTCAGGAAGCCTCCTTCACTGGGCATGTTGTAGCCCCATTTTAGGTTCCAAACAGTTATAGGCAAAAGACAGACTGACAAGCTTTCTATGGTGATATTTCTGGCTATTTCCTTCACAACAACTCAAGCGTCTATTTTATAATGGTATGCCAGGGAAACCAAGATTCAAAAGACAGCCAAGCATCTTAACATTATTTCTCCCCTTTACCCATTCCAACCATATCTCAATCCCTGTATCCCAGAGCTCTGTTGTTCCAAGGTTGTGCATACATCATTATTTACCTCTGTCTCACTTAGCCCATGCAAACCTGCCTAATTGTTTTCCTTTGTTCTTCCATTCCCATGCCCCTTCTTGTGTATTACCCCTATCCCTAGCACCCAAACTATCCTGTTTCTATTCTCTGCTCTTTGCTCCACCTTCTCCTCCCTCCCCTCACCCCAATCCCCATGTAACCATCCCAGCAAAGAATCTCCACCCTCTTTAGTATAGGTTCTTTTCTTAGTCTTTTACAGTAGTGGCCCTATGCAGTATTTCTCCTTTTGTGACTGA